ATAAACACATTGAATATAATGATTTGGACATTGCTGTTACGTATACCTAGAACTCAGTTTAGGTTTGAACAACTTTATACTTGATCAGATGTGTGTGTGTGTGTGTGTGTGTGTGTGTGTGTGTGTGTGTGTAAGATAGTTGGGATGAATGTTTTCCAAAGTTGCAAGGTTAAAAAAAAGATTTTAGGGTAGCCATTTCTTTCAGTTGCATGTTTATAAAGCAGCCAGTGCCTCCTATGTTTTCACGTGAGATAATTTTGAGATAACAGCTCCTATGATCTCATATAGTAGGGTAATTGGTCCTGTAGAGACAAAAGCAATAGAGTTATAAAGGGGATCACTTCCCAGTATGATTTTTGTGTGTGGGAAATCTGATACCCTACAGCATTATTGTCATTCTAGGGCTCTTCTAAGGCCCTAGGAATTTCATATTCCTGTAAGAGGGAGATTCCCAGCCGAACCTGTGAAAATATACTGGAGAAAGTCCAGACACATAATGCACAGTGGGTTTCCTTCCTTGCTTCTAGGACTGCATTAGCTGCTCACTCCCAAGGTCCCTGGTTGCTGAGTGTGAGACCAAAGTATGGACTGCAGAGCAATGCACTGATCCCCGGATTCTCTGGTGCCCATGTGTCAGAAAAAGGCACAGCATCCGAGTGCAGAGAAGGCCGAGGTAGGGTCTCAAGGTAGGTGAATTGTTCTAAGAGAGACACAGGAAGGTAAGTCCTCGAAGGAGTCATTCTGCTCCTGCTGCATTTACGCTGATTCATCAAAGCTTTCAGAGCATTTCTTCAAGAGGGACTGGTAGACCACTCCCCGGTATAGAAGCAAGCAAGTCGGAAACTTGAGGCATCCTCCGTGCGCTCCAGGTGCAGTGTCAAAGAATGTAGGGACGAAGTGCCATCACCAAAGTGCCACTTTCTCCTCGTTATTCAGTTCCCTACGTTCCCCTAGAAACCGGTACCAGCACGTGCCTCTAGCTAGGCGATCCTCTTCTGCGGGGAAAGGAGATCGGAGGGCCAGGTCTGTGGGAACCCTCTCTGTGCCCCAGCGCACCGCGACCTCGCCTGGCTGGTCTCCCGGCTTGCTCCTCGGGCTGGAGACCGCGATGCCGACTTACTAACTGTGCTGCGGTGACCCAGTTCAAGCTCGGTTTCGCTCCAGCTGAACCAATGCTGGCGAGAGCGGCCTGCGGGACCTCTGCGAGGACTCGCCAGGAACGGGGGCGAGTGCGCTCTGGAAAGCCGCTGTGAGCAGATGGCGAGGGATTATGTCCAAGAGCTGCACCGGTTTCATTTCAGTCTTGGACCTCGCAGAGAGGGCTCGTGCCTACATTAACAAACGTTCTCCTCCGAAGTCTACAGCACTGCCCCCAAAAGATAGGCCAGCAGCTCGAGCTCCAGGAATGCCACAACTCCGCGTGAAGCCTGGTTGCCCAGGCTCACTCCCTGTCCTGCAATGACGTTAACCTGCGTGGGCTTCAGCCTTTGCTCCACAACCCAAGGCAATCCGGGAGTCCTTCCATGAAGTTACCGAGAGGAGTGGGCTGCTGCTTAGCAGGGCCCTAGAGCAAGGCCAGAGTGGATGAAATTCCCACTGCAGCGCCGCCTTTGTTACTAAAAAGCATTGCCAGAAGACTGGCAGCGCTTGTTGTGCACGCACTTCCAAAGTGGCTCAGAGAAGGCCCGGAATTGCTCGAGGTTTCTGGGATAATCAGGTGGAGGCACCGCAGTACAAAGCAAGCAGGAAGAGATGGTTCCTGATCTCTTGTTCCAGCCCAGGAGCGCGGTCCTTCTTATACCCCGCCCTTCTACCAGGAGACTGAAGAGGGTTTTGGGCAGGAGGCCTAACCAGGAGGCCTGGGACTGGGCTCTACCCCTGCCCCACCCCGCGTCGTCCAGTTTGGGTGTGTGTGTTTTATGTATGTGTGTGTCCTTCTCTAGGCCTGGGTGATGTTAGAATCTTAGGGTGACCAAGTCTGAGGAAGGCAACTCCTCCAGGTGTCTCATTAATTTCAGTCCCCCAGCAGAGGCCCTGATGGCAGTATAAGGTAGGTGCCTCTTTCCACCCTGGGAGGGTAGCAACTATCCCCTCCCCGAGCTGGAGTTAGGCCCCTTTCCAGGATCAGGCTCTATAAGACCCCACTCCCTCAGTGGGTAACACCCTTCAATTGGGGGTTCCCTGTTTAGGACTTGAAATTTGGGATCCTGAGCAGTTCAGTTTGAATTTTGGGCTGGCAATCTACCAGCTGTGTGTCTTAAATCATTTAACCTCTCTGAATTTTGGTTTCTTCACTTGTAAAGAACATAATAAAACCAGCATCTGTGACTACTGCAAGGCCAAGTTTGGGTTCAATGGCCCCAGCAGGGCCACCTGCTTTAGTTGCCATTTCTGTCCTGCTTTGCATGAAGCAGGGGGAATCTGGGATGATAATAGGTTCTGCATAGGAACCCCACTTGATAAGGCTGGCAAGCACTTGGGGCCTAGTAGGAGGAAGACACAGTCATTTACATGCCTGTCTTTGACATGCATCTTAGCTCTCTAAGTACACCTTTCCTTCTCTCTGGAGAGAAATAAGATGCAAAGGTGTCCGTCAGAACCGGGTTGGTAGGGCTCAGGGAGCAGGGAGGTAGAAGACAGGGGCTATTTCTGGACACCACTAAACTAATTTGAGGAAAATGGAGACTGGCTTGAAACTCAGGGAGACAAGGAGTCTGTTTAATATGGGGGGGGGGTGTAAGAGTTGGAATGGGCTGCAGTCTCTTGGTGCCTGCAGTCAGGAGGTCTGAGGACCACTGCCATGACTTCATGCTGTCACCTGAGTGGTGAAGACCTGGAGAGGGGACCATACTGCTCTAGAGAGACAAGTTCTGATGGCAGGAGGAGGCTGGGAGAACAGGCTCACCCACACTGCAGACATCTCAGACCGAGAAGATTCGCTCAGGTGAGTGAGGACACTATATAGATTATGGGGGTGCAGATCAGGCCTCCAGTAGAGGCTTGGCTTTTGTGTGCTCTCCAAAATCTGGAAACTGAATTTGGAATCTGGAGGGCTATTCTTAGTTATCCCTTGGACAGGCTCTCAGCTCAGCCCCTTGCAGAACAGACATATTCCTGGGTAACCCTCATCTTTCCTCTCTCCTCTAGCTCCTCCAGCGGTAGCACTCAGTGTTCTTTACCTTCAGGACAGCAGGATAATGATACTGACATCTGACCACTAACCCCGCCAGCATTCAAGCCCGGACCCTTCTGCATTTTGCCCTTTGCAGGCAGGGAAGACTGCCTGGATTATTTCATAAATTTCGAGCTTTCAGCCTGCTCTATCTTTAGGTCCTGAATAAAAACTGGTGTTCACAGAAAGGCAAATAAAATAAAATAAAACCCAATTCCTTAGCGTCTGACCCCAGGGGCAAAGGAGACACTGGTGAGAAGGGGCCACAACTTGGAAAAAGATTTATTTTTCCTGGCCGTAAATCTCACCCCGTTGTTCCTCTGCCCAACGAAGCATGATAAAGTCCTTTTCCATAAAGTATTCAGTATTAGAGCCACAAAGCTCCCCCAATCAGTAGCCATCTGCTTCTACCATAACTGCTGCTGCCGAGGCAGGGAAGCAGCCGCAGAGAAAGGGCCCCACTGTTAGCGGCCGGACAAATGAGGAGCCTGAATGGCTTTGGTTTTCCTTGTGTATCTGTATCTATAGAGACAGGAGAAGAAAGGCCGCATTATATTGATACAACAATTGTAAAACAAAACACGGAAGAGGCATCTAAAGGGCAATATCGCATGCATCAGGGGTCCCCAGATAAAAGGGGTGCTAACAGATTTATAGAAACCTTTAATTGGTTTTCAATTGAAAGCTAAAGAGGCCGGGCGAAGCTGTGAAGAGTAGCAAAGTGCTCTCCTTCAGCCGTCTGGAGGCGTGATCGATTTCACTAGGGAGAAAAGAGGAGCCCCAACCGCGGGCCGGGCGCCGCCTCCGCGAGGGTGGGAGCCACTGGGCGCTGGGAGCGTCCACTTGGGCCGGGGGTTTCTGTTCGGATCGTAGAATCTCAGTCTCCCTCTCCCTACCGCTTTTCCTCTCTCCCTCCTTCAGGCCAGCCGGCAAGACGAGAAAGGAGGGGGAAAGGCGGCAAATCTAGCACCTAGCTCCGGAAGAAACAGGTCCAGAAAGCCCGGACTTTAAACCTAACAACCACTAGAAGGATAGGGCCTTTGGAAGGAAAGCAGGAGACCCCTCCTCTCTGCCCCATTCTAGATTCAAAACGAAGTTTCCCTCTCCATTTCTAGATTCAAACCAAAGAAGGTAGCAAACACTCCAGGGCGAGGTCTTGGGTTAGGGCTGGGGTTGGGGCTTGGGTTAGGGTTAGTGTTGGGATTATTTGGGGTTAGGTTTAGGATGCACTTCGTTGTCCCCCACCCACAGCGTGCCTCGGGGACACTTGCCCACCCACGCTGCAGCCCAGGACTTAGGTCCTTCTGTTCCCAAAGCTAATTTATTGGCCCGGCCCTCCATTATCATTTCAGCTTCCTAATTAATCAAAGATAAAAGGCAATGGCGCAAATTATGATTATGAGAGGAGTAGAAGACGGTTTTGAATAAAATGGGAGAAGCGAAATATGATTAATTGAACATGGTAGTGAAATCTCAAGTGTGAGGAACAGGTTCAGGGGGTCCAGTTTTGGTAGGTCCACTGTGCAAGACAGCCTCTTCCCCTTCCCTAGCAGGGTGCCAGTGGACAGTCCCCAGCAGAGGTCACTTGAAGCCTTCGGAAGGGAAAGGACTAGGTTCTAATTCCAGCTCCAAAACTCACGCAGTGCCCAGTTAACCCAGTCTCTAGGCCCACTGAACCGCTGCGCCCCCCCCCCCCCCCCCCCGTTGAATTTCTGAACTCGGGCGGGTGAGTCCATCCACATCAGTCAGGTGCGCCTTGCCGGGTGCCTGGAGGGGATACTAGGGCTCACCTACCTTTTTTTACATTTTGAGACAGGGTCTCATTAAGTCCTAAATTGGCTAGGATGGGCTTGAACTTACGATCTGCCTGCCTAGACTTTTTGACAGAAGTGCCCCATAGCAGTGTGAAGGCTCCTGGGGTCTCCTGTTTCTTTTCTGTCCGTGCACATCCCCCTAACACTTTGTGAAATTGCAGGAAACAAGTCGAGTAGGTTGGTTATAGATCGCCGGACTCGTGTCAGGGATTAATAGAGCCCTTGTCTGATGCTGCTCTCCAGAATTACGTCCGGGATTAAAAGCCAGACACTACACAGGCACACATTTTGCACTGGCTGGTCGTCCTGATTAATGTTTCCGAGGGGATTTATTCTGAGAGCTTACGGAACGCGTTCTGGGGTCTAAAGCCCCATGGTGACGGTCGTGCGCAGGGACTTGACTGTAGGCAGGGACCTGAAGGTAGGCGCTCATGGTACCCTGTGGGGCGGGGGGATGGGCGAGGGGCGCGGAGACGCTGGGCGCTGCGTCTCGGGGTTACCCCCCAACACCTTCTGGAGAAGGAAGCCCCGAGGACCGTTCCTGAGGGCCGTGCAAGGAGGACGCTTTGGGGTCTGCAGCATTTGCATGGAAGCAGCAGGCTCAGAGCTCTGGCGCCACCGAGCTTCGCACGTCCATCCAGAGCTCCTCGACCCAGGAAAGCGCCACACCCCGGCCCACCCCCTGCTTCCCGCACTCAATTGCTGCTTTCCCTGTCCTCGGGCAAAAATGACTTCAACCACCACACTCAGCCCCTCTGGCCACTTGGGAGGGAGTAACCTGAGCAAAGAGGCTCACATCGCCTCCTGCCGGGTAGAACCCCTGAGAATAAGGAGGGTGCAAGGGAGAGAAGACAGAAACCTTGTGGTCCAGCGGGGAGAGGTGCAAATCGAAAGCGAGGGCGAAGAGGGTTAGCAGAGGAGAGAAGAGGGACTGGAGAGCGGTGGTCTCTCTGGCGTGGGCGGCGCCGCTCTCGGGCTGGAGGGGGCGCCACTGCGGCCGCGGGGCGGGGCGAGACCAGCGCTCCCGCCTCCCGCGCGGGTACTGGGGAGCAGGGCGCCCCCTCCTGGAAGCTGCTCAGCGCTCCCCCACTGTTCCGCGGGTGCTGTAACCCCGCCTCTGCTACTCCTTGGGCCACCAAGGTGGGTTGGGGAGGGATAATGGGGTGCTGAGAGATCCGGGGGTGGGAAGATGGGCCGGGCGAGTGGAGTCGAGCAGTCCCAGTGCCTCTATGTGAGGCTGCCTTACCTGCAACCAGCGTCCTCTTAGCGCAGCGCCTGCGGCCCCTGGGCGCGCCACCCCCACCTGGCCCTCAAGGCGGCACCCGCGGTGCTGAGCGGCAGTGTCTCCGCCGCGGCAGCTGGGCGGGAGGAGGGGACCCCGCGTGCAGTGCGCGCAGAGCCGCCATCTGGAGCCCTGGTGACGGGCGGGGTGGACTGAGAGGGCCGGGCAGGCGTGGGGCCCCTTGGCTGGCAGGGGACTACACTGCGCGCGGAAGGGGCGGCTTCAGGCCCTGGAGGGCACGTGGGACGGGTGCGGCCCCGAGGTAGGGTAGCTGAGGCCCGCGCTGCTGAGTCCCCAAGGATCCGGGCAGACCTGGCTGCCAGGTGTGGAGAAGCTGCAGGAGGACAGTTTGGCTGCCCCGTTGTGTCCCTGGCTGCTGTCCCTCTGGGGGAGGAGAGCTGGGAAAGCACTCCTACGCACACCCTTGGTGACCAGAAGCGTTTTTCTCATTTCCCTTTCTTCCCACCTTGTTCATCCCACTCCAGGAAACGTTCCCTTCCAAAAAGCCCGGGGTTTGGACACCTCCACCCCAACACTACTTCAGCCAGAACGTGGGGCAGGAAATGACAGGCTCCCTCACCCTTGGGGATAAAAGCGCTCCTGTCTGGGGGCAGGGAGGATGAGGAATAATGGAGGAGGGCGGAACCGTAGAGGCTATCGAAGGGATGAGGCGTGGGTAGCTCATCCTTCCACTTGGAGTATACAGAACAGTGGGACGGACTTGGGGGTGTGGAACCCCCTTTTATTTCAGTGCTTTTATCCCTTTAACCTTCTAATCTATTTCTCTTTCTAGAATCTGGATGGGACCGGAAGGAGAGCAGAGCAGGAGAATTCAGGAGGCCAGAGCGTTCTGAGAACTCTGAGCGTGCGCTGTCTCTCAGCTGTGGAAAGGGAGTTGGGTGGGCGTGGGGACCGTGGTTGGTGGCCTGAATAAAAAAAAGAAAAGGCAGACCTTTTCCCACCCCCAAGGCATTCAAAGACATCCTCACCCCCAGCTGTCTCTTGTCCGGTAGAATGGCATTATGTAAAAGATCTGGCATGTCACCCAGTGGCACATCTGGTAGGTGTAGATGGCATTCATTAGCACGGGGCTTCTACTCTGCGGCATGCCAAAGCGCTGACAGAGATGCCCGGTGCCAATCATTCATTCGCTGCCAGTCCCAGAGCGCGGCCGGGCGCGATGGCTCCCTTCCACCCTGGCACCAGGACTAGAGGAAACAATGTGTTGAGCTACGAAAAGATGAAAGCAGAGCCGAGGATGCGAGGCACCCAGCAGATGTATCCCGTGAGGAGACCGTGGAGCAAGAGTCGTGTAGCAAGAAAACATATGGGAGCGCGGGAAGGAGGCTTGGGCGGTTCTGCCTGCCTGGGGCTGCACTGAGGGCAGGATGGGGAACCCCTTTAGGAACCAGAAAGTTGAGGTTGCTGCTCTAAAAGCATACAAAAACAACCCCCAATTCCCTAATGCAAGATTTCCTTTTCTCTCTCCTTGGTTGTCTCTTGTACTTCTATCTAGAAACCTTCCTGGCGTTGTGTTGCCTTTGCCATGGCTTTCTGATGACCAAGATAAAAAGAGGCTTCCAGTTTTAAATTTTGCTTAGTTCTGTTGGCCTTGCAATGTGTGTGTGTGTGTGTGTGTGTGTGTGTGTGTGTGTGTGTGTGTGCCAGGCCTCCTTGACTGCACTGTAATAGGTATTGTTTCAATTTTTAGCCCGTCAATAGGAAAAGAGGAACAAAACAAAGAAATTGTTCAAAATGCCAAGGAAAATGAAACAATCTGAGACAGAGATCGTCTTAAACTGGGTGTTGATTAACTAGCTGTTCAGTGTATTGCTTTTCTTTAGCCACACATGCTTTATAAATAGCTCTTTTTTACCCATTCAATATTTAATAAAACAAGAACAAAATTCAGGGTTTTTACAGTATGTGAGATTCACTATATATGTTGAATGAATCTAACAGCTTTTTATTACATGTATATTTATCTAGCAACCTTGAATATGTTGGCTCTTGGTCACAATATAACTGCTATATATATATATATATATATATGTATATATATATATATATGTATGTATAACATCTATAAAATTCTGCTGTTTTTAATATATGCTGTAAAATATTTGGGACTGCTGATACTATAAATTTATTCATGATTATCTGAAATTCAAATTTAACTGGGCATCCTCTATATTTGTTTCTTATCTAGCAACCTTGAATATGTTGGCTCATATGAATTTATTGGTCATAATATAACCACTATAATTCTAGGCATCACATTATTATTTTAAACGTGAAGGACAGAGTTGAACAGATGTGGTTATTTCTTATGATTAATGAAAAAAATATTTTTATTTTTCATCAACTGGACCTAATCATCTGGTTACAGATACCTAAGGAAACTATCACGTATTTATTATTTCACTGTTACTACTACTGTTATTAGTATTCTGGGGACTGGTCTGCATCCTGTACCCTTTTTTTTTTTTCGTCTTTTTCCTTTTTATTTGTACCAGGGATCGAACTCACGACTGCCTGCTTGCAAGGCAGGTGCTTATGCCACTGAGCTAAATCCCCAGCCCATAATCCTGTACCCTTTTTATACTGAAACGGGATCTCCCTGATTCAAGGCTGGAACTAGGCTTCTGCCTGCTTCAGCCTCCCAGAGAGCTGAGATTACTGATTTAGACCATCACACCCAATCAGTGAAAAACCTCTTTTAGAGAATAAAAGGAGCTGGATGTGATTCACATCAGCTGTAGGACTTGGCTGTTTACAAAAGGGTGTCTGTCAAAGGACTGAAGGGCAGAGGGAAGTTCTTATTAGCACCAAACAATGATAGATTATCAAATAAAAGTCATAAGCAAAAGTTATTGCAAAAGATTTTAAATACAAATCTTCTGTTTTAACTGCAGTCATTAAAGGGAGAGTGTACTCACATTTAGAAGTTTCTTTGTGAATTTCACCAAAGTGTTTTAAAACACGGACTTGGGTTTAATAAATATATTCATAGGACAGCTGTCATAAAATCTGACTTATGTTTAAGTAAACTTAGTCTTTGCAAGAGCAATATGAATAGAACTTCTTAATACATTTAAGTGAAATAAATAAAATGACTCAAATTTTGACTCACTGGACATGTAACTTTGGGCATTTTACCTCTTTAAATCATGTTTCTTCATCTGTAACATGGGTGAATACTGCTAATGCCTGGTAGAATTATCATAAAGCTTATTGATCATGATGCATATAGAAGGTTTTATAATACAGTAAATTCCAGAAACCCAGAGAATTCTGCTCAAATGAAGCACCTGGAGACTAGTTACCAAGTGTGCGCAGGGTTATGGAAACAAATAAAGCTGTGAGCTCTGTGGTTCGAATATAGATTGTCTTACTGAAAAGCAAAGAAGTTTGATTCCAAACTTAATGGTATTGCAAGGTAGTAGGGGCTTTAAGACATAAGAGATTGTGGGAGCACCACACTTAGGAATGGATTAATCCTGCTTTTGTGGGATTGGGCTCACATTCAGGAGAGTGTATTGTAGAATGAGCCAAATCCCCACTGGCTGCTCTTCTGTTTGCTTCTTGCACTTCTGCTTCTCTACTATGTTATGATGCAATACAAGGCCCTTCCCAGATGTTGGCACCCTGCTCTTGAACTTTTCCAGGCTTGAGAATTATAAGGCAAAATAAAACTCTTTCTTTATTAATTACTCAATTGTGAGTATTTTGCTACAGCAATAGAAAGCAAACCAAGACAGTGAATCTCACAGAAGCTAGCCTGGCCGGAAAGTAACTGGTATTTCTCTTAGGAAAGTAACTGGTAAACTCTTAGGAAAGTAACTGGTATTTCTAGACCTTTCTAAGGACTGGAAGGCTGGGAGAGGGACCTAGTGAGAAATACAGAACCACAGTTACTGTCTGAGAAGCATCGAGGAGGGATCCAGAAATAAACACCCGTCTTTCTTCTTTCACACACTTCTATTTCACATTACTGATAGAAACTATTGGTCAAACTCAAGGAAACTGTCCCTATAAGGATATCAGATGGTGTTGAATCTGCATAGGTCAATTGCTAGGGAGACAGACAGAGCTAGGAGAAGTGGATTAGACAGAAGATCTTGGGGGAAACAAATGAAGAATAACCTATGCAAGTATAAGATTTTTCACAAATAATTTTCTTTGAGAATCCTTCCTCTAAATATCTTTTTGCAGCATAATTCCAATTGGAAGTACAGACTTAACAGACTTTGTAAACTGAAGCATCCAAGTTTTTAAGAATCATCTCTCAGAAGCATTTGGCAGGAAGGCTCCCAAAAGTTCTCAGGAAAGATTTGCAGATATCTTGGGGAACTTTGCAAGCCAAGACCTGGAAGAATTTGACTTCCTTCCTTTGAGCATCCTCAGCCCAGGGCTCTCATCATTTGTGGTTTCCTGTGTCATAAGCTGTCTTGCTGTGATGACTGCTTAGTCACTTGCTGGCTGTTATTTTCTAGGCAGCTTAGCAAAAGGTGACTACTTCATAACAGATCAGCCCCATACTGATAGGAAACCCTGCTAATGGCTTCCTTGAATCCAGAATCTGCGTGAACTTCAAATTATAGAAACTGTTCCTCTTTCCAGCTTTGCCATCCCTAAGCTTTGTTCCTGAAATTGAACTACCCCACAGGCAAAATGACAAGCGAGAGCGGTGTTGGAGTACCATGTTTTCCTCTGTGAAATCAAGATGGAGTCATAGCCAGGATCAGAATTTGAATGTTCATTCCAGCTATTAACATTAACAAAAGCCTCACTGCCAAACCTCCCAGAAACTTGGATTCGAAAACTTGAAAGAACTGATACAAGGTTGGCAACCGCTGTTTTTATATATTTATTTATTTAATTTTTTTTTGTCTTTTTGAGACAAGGTCTCACTATGCAGTTCAGGCTGTTCTTTGGCTCACTTTGTAGCCCAGGCTGATCTCAAATTTCCAGTGATCCTCCTGCGTCAGCTTCCCGAGTGCTGGAATTATAGGAGTGCACCACCATGCCTGGCTGCAATCACTGTTTTAATGGAAAGGAACAATCATAGACAAAATAAAAGAGTGAAAGCCAAAGATGAGTTCTTCTGCAAGTACAGTACCACATACAGGTAAATAATAAATATAAGTGAAATAGATTGATTTCTGTAGGGACTAATGAAAATTATACATACAGGATCAATAGTTTAAATATCCAAAACTGACCTTAAAAGTAAACAGCAAAAGAATAATATAAATATATATTCAAGGCAATAGATGAAAATCTGGTATGGAATTTGATTCTATTGTATTTTGTAGACCACACCACTCCTCGTCTATCCCAAGTTAGCAAGATAGAAGTGCTACCCCAAACAGCTGCTGCTGAGAACACTGCTCTTTCTATTCTCCAGTCTAGGTTGGAGGACTTCCAGTTCAGAAGAAGCAGGAATTCAAGTTTTCTCAGTCAACTGCAGCTGCCTGTTGCTAAAACTGAGTCTCAAAGGAATAAAATTGGTAGGTGGAACTTTCCTCTTCTACTCCACTTGGAAATTCTATTTTGGGTGTGGCATATTGAGAATACTGGGGTTCTGATAGCCTTGTCCTTGGTTCTTAAAGTGAAGACTCTACGTTATGAGGGATAGGCAGACAGGCCTGCAGGCCTCAGTCACCTCACCCACCAAGCATTCAGGCCTTAGAGGAGAGGCCATAGATGTCACTTAGAGAGAAGTCTGTCATTATCTCTGCTTCTAGTTCCTCAGCCAGCTCTTGACTCAGAAATTTTGCCTGGGGAAAGATTCAGGGCATAAATCAGATAGCTCCTAATCTGTTCCAGAAGGAACTGACTTCACTGGAAACCAAGTATAGAGAAATTCAAATCCAGCGGCACTCTCCAGAGCAGTAGAGACTGCGGATATAACCAACTGAAAGAAGATGAGGAGATTGAATGCAGACACAGCCTAGATTGTAGGCCAGGTATTCTGTGGCACAGGAACTGGGAAATGAGGAATCCTGGAAGAGCTTTCTTGGGGTTCATACCAATATCAGCACTTACCTCAGAGTCTATTCTATCGTAAGAACCATACTATGTTTGGATTAGTTTGTAGAAAGCTTTATGCTCTAAGGCATTCTTGACAGCAATAGAGTGATAAGACCCAAATTAGGGGAGCTTAGCAGCTATATGTAGTCAGGAAAAGAGTGTAAAGGAACCTACGTGTATTACTGTCACCTCCGGGTGACTGCGGAATGATCTCAAAACTGTGCCTCTTTTATTAGAGAGCTTCAGAGGCTTACACAACTGTGTGTGAGGGTCAGGGAGAGAGTAAGAGGTGGACTAGATTTCATTAAATTCACTCAGCAGTCACTAAGCAAATAAACAAGAAAATATTACAAGCCCAGGGAAGGGAGGATAAATTTCCAGAACTTCTGCACTCTAAAATGCCAAATTTATAACAAAAAATTATGATGCACTCAAAGGAAGAGGAAGAATGACCCATATGCCACATAAAAGACAATGAACAGGGCTGGGAATATAGCTCAGTGGCACAGCATCTGCCTGGCAAGCACAAGGTGCTGAGTTCAATTCCCAGTACCAAAAACCAAGAGAAAAAAATGAACAGAAAAATTACCATATACTCACCTTTGTAAGTCTGAAATGTGAAAATAAATAAAACAAATAAAAAAGCAGATACTATTTAGCCTGAATTAAAAAATATGGTCTAACATATGTTGTCTAAAAGAGACTGCACTCTAAGTAGATTGGAAGTAAAAGGAAAAAACAAACTAACAAAAACAGCAACCTCAAGAGTGCTGGATTGTTGAACTAACAGACAAAATAGTCTCTAACACAAAAACTTTATTCTAGAGAGCTAATGAGGCAAGTTTAGTAATACATACAGCAATGCTTCAGAAAGATGTAACAATTATAAATGTATATACCTAGTACTAAATTACAAAATACACGAGGCAAAGACTTACAGAAATGAACAGAGACATAGATAATTCAACAATATTTGGAAAATTCAATACTACAGTTTAAATAATTGATAGATATTTCAATACTCTTATTTAAATAGTGGATTGGGGCTTGCATTCAGGAAACACTGGTGAGGCCTACAGAGAGTCTGCACCCAGCAACCTGCAATCATCTGGGAACACTAGTTCCATTCCACATGGACTGGGAAGCTTCACCCAGTGACCTGCCCACACACAGGACCCTTGGTGAGGCTCAAGGGGTCAGGAAAGTTGTACCCAGTGACCTACCCACACCCATGAACCATCTCTGAGGCCTGCAGGGACTGGCAGTCTGCACCCAAAGATGCTCAACCATCAGGAGCCCTCAGTGAGGCCTGCTTCCAGATGGCTCATGAGCAAGGGAAGCAACTAGGACTTGGCATCAGGCTGATCCAGAAGAACACAGGGCAATGCCAAAACAAAAGAACAAAATGTAATCTCAAACTTTCAGCCCATCCAGATCAAGTCCAGGAGACATAGACATGGATAAAATGGGGGAAAAAACCACTTGAAATTTCTGAAATGATAGCAATGGAAGTAAAGAAACAACTCCAGGAAGTTATAAAGGAATTCAGATCAGAAATAATTGCTTAGGTGAAAACAGAAATGATAAATATAATGACAGATTTGGTGAGTATAAACAAAGAATACATAGATAAAAAAATTACAGGAGCATAAGAAAGTGATTGAAACCTTGGATGAACACTACAGGGAACATTTAGAATGCATGAAACAAATTCAGGGAGATATCCAGGAGATAAAAAAATTTTCCTGAAAGCTGGCAAAACTGAATGAATGAAAGTGAAGACAGACTCTTGCTTTTTTTTTTTTTTTTTTTTTTTGTCTTTTTCCTTTTTATTGGTACCGGGGATCAAACTCAGGACTGCCTGCTTGCAAGGCAGGCGCTTATGCTGCTGAGCTAAATCCCCAGGCCCCAAAGACAGGCTCTTGAAGACATGATTGTAGTTAATGATCATGCAGGGAAAAATCTCTTAAAAATAACAAGGAATCAGGAAGTAACAATTGGACAGCTGCAAGATGATGCAAAGAGAAATAGTATAGGGTTGGTAAATGTCAATGAAAAAGGAGACAACACAAATGATCTAAAAAAGAGTATT